CGCTACGAGCACATCCCCGGGCCGCCGCGGCCCAGGTGAGCGGGGGGTGGGGGCGGGGGCCTGGATGGGGCGCTGGAACGGGGGGCCGGAGGACCGCGTCCAAGCTGGCGCCGAGGCCGGGGTCCAGCCTGGCTCTTTGCGCGCGGCCACTTGGAGACAGCGGCCCAGAGAGGGGCGCTAACTATTCTTAGTAACAAATTAGTCACAGCCGCAGCAGCTGCTGGGCGCCCACCGCGCTCAGCTGGGCCCCACAAACCTGATGGCAGCGACAACTCTGTCAGGTAGGCTCTATTGTTACCCCACCATTCAGACGGGGAGACTGAGGCGCGCAGAGGCGAAGTCACCTGCCCAAGGTCATGCAGTTTGGTAAGCCTAGATTTACACACAGGTCAGCCTGGCTCCAAAGTGGGCGCTATTAACTTTGGAACTTGGACAGGGTCGGCCTAGATTGGAGCACACTGTACCTTAGTGACATTCCTTTTTGTCTGTATATCCCATTTGTCTTCTCCTTAGTACTGTCATTTCATTCTTGCCCCCACCCCTCACCTACTAAATCCAGTTCTAAATTAGCCCCCTGAGTGGCCAGCAAGGCCCCTGCTAAGCTCTCAGGACCCACTCTATACTGTTCTCTTTCCTCTTGCTTGCTCACTGCACCCCCAGGCTTTCTACTTTCTGCCCCCAGCTGATTCCCTCGCCCAGGGTCCAAGTCTTCCCCTTTTTTCAAGCCTGGGCATGGTGGGCTACTTCCTCTCCTCATCTCAAACAGGCCTCCCTGACCATCCTGTGTAATGCCCACCCATAAGGAGTTTGGGGCCATCACCCCTGAAGTTACCTTCTTTCTACCTATTGACTGTCCATTCACCTGTTGACTGTCTGTCTCCCCCTTAGAATGTGAGCCCCAGGAGGGCAGGGATGCTGCGTGTTCACTTGTGTTTCTCCAGCTCTTGGCATGTTGCAGATGCTCAATAAATATTTGTTGAATGAATAAATAAACAATGGTATTAAACACACTTTTTAAAACTTGAGGATATGAACATTCTGGAAGGCACACGTCTCCAGCACAAGCCAGATGCGCTGGCATTAGAAGGCTGAATCTTTGTTTGGTGGGTTCAGGGAAGATCGCTGTGGCTGTTGACACAGGGAGGCAACTGTTCTCTCATTGGCTCTCTGCCCTCCTGGTGCCCTCTCCCACCTTGGGATCTTCCCCAGCCCCCTTTCCCTTGCTTAGCAGCTCTGCCTTCCACTCACCTGATGTTCTTCCCTGGCTTTTCAGGCTTGGCTCAAATGCTGATTCCTCAGGGAGGTTCCTCCTGCTCCCTCAAATATATTACATTCATTTTATAAATGCTTTAAGTCACTATCATTCTCCTTTACATAAGTGGCTAATTATTTGTGCAACCTCATGTTAAGTGTCTGTCTCTCCCATGAGCTCTATGTCTGTCTCATTCACTGCTGTGTCCCCAGCATCAAGCACAGCAGCACCTGCTACATGCGTCGTGGATACTCGATAAATAGTGATTCAAGGCTGAACTGTGGAAATCTACAAGTCTGTCATGTACACTATCACCCTTTCAAGTTTTCAGATCGACATCTGGGAATCGAATGAGTGCTGTGCTTGTTCTGGTAAAGTCTCGTCAATGCTTTGCCTTCTCATAAACCCAAATGCTTCAGGCATAAAGACCTGGTCCAGCCTCTGTCCTTCAGAAGGCAGAACTTAAATTATCTTTTAAAAAAATCAAGATATAACTTGCATACCATAAAATGTATCTTTTTAAAGTGTACAATTCATTGATTTTTAGCATATTCACAGAGTTGTGCAACCATAACCTCTAATTTCAGAACTTTTTGGTGACCCAAAAAAGAAACCCCATGCCCATTAGCCATCACTCCTCATCTCCTCCCCAACCTAGGCAACCGCTGATCTACTTTTTGTCTCTTACCGAATTGCCTATTCTGGACATTTCATATAAATGGAGTCATACAAATCATACAAGTAGAATGTGTCCGTGCGTCGTGGATACTCGATAAATAGTGATTCAAGGCTGAACTGTGGAAATCTACAAGTCTGTCATGTACACTGTCACCCTTTCAAGTTTTCAGATCGACATCTGGGAATCGAATGAGTGCTGTGCTTGTTCTGGNCACAAGCCAGATGCGCTGGCATTAGAAGGCTGAATCTTTGTTTGGTGGGTTCAGGGAAGATCGCTGTGGCTGTTGACACAGGGAGGCAACTGTTCTCTCATTGGCTCTCTGCCCTCCTGGTGCCCTCTCCCACCTTGGGATCTTCCCCAGCCCCCTTTCCCTTGCTTAGCAGCTCTGCCTTCCACTCACCTGATGTTCTTCCCTGGCTTTTCAGGCTTGGCTCAAATGCTGATTCCTCAGGGAGGTTCCTCCTGCTCCCTCAAATATATTACATTCATTTTATAAATGCTTTAAGTCACTATCATTCTCCTTTACATAAGTGGCTAATTATTTGTGCAACCTCATGTTAAGTGTCTGTCTCTCCCATGAGCTCTATGTCTGTCTCATTCACTGCTGTGTCCCCAGCATCAAGCACAGCAGCACCTGCTACGTGCGTCGTGGATACTCGATAAATAGTGATTCAAGGCTGAACTGTGGAAATCTACAAGTCTGTCATGTACACTATCACCCTTTCAAGTTTTCAGATCGACATCTGGGAATCGAATGAGTGCTGTGCTTGTTCTGGTAAAGTCTCGTCAATGCTTTGCCTTCTCATAAACCCAAATGCTTCAGGCATAAAGACCTGGTCCAGCCTCTGTCCTTCAGAAGGCAGAACTTAAATTATCTTTTAAAAAAATCAAGATATAACTTGCATACCATAAAATGTATCTTTTTAAAGTGTACAATTCATTGATTTTTAGCATATTCACAGAGTTGTGCAACCATAACCTCTAATTTCAGAACTTTTTGGTGACCCAAAAAAGAAACCCCATGCCCATTAGCCATCACTCCTCATCTCCTCCCCAACCTAGGCAACCGCTGATCTACTTTTTGTCTCTTACCGAATTGCCTATTCTGGACATTTCATATAAATGGAGTCATACAAATCATACAAGTAGAATGTGTCCATATTTCTTTCCTTTTCATGGCTGGCTTTTTTCACTTAGCGTGATGCTTTCAAGATTAATCCATGTAATAGCATGTGTCCATATTTATTTCCTATTTATGGCTAAATCCTCCCCAAATCTTACACCACAGAGTCTACATGTGACCTATAAGTGTGGGGTGGGGAGAAAGAGTGGGAGGAGGATGAATAGAATCACAGTTGGGCTCTTTATTCTAAGGAGGTGAAATGAATATGTGAAAAAATTTGGGGTTAAAAATTGGTTAGTGGTCAAAAATAAAACTGCACTAAATGGAAGTTTGGGAACCTCTTCTAGCACAAATCAGATGCTTTGGCATTAAAAGCCTAGATCTTTAAACCATCATTGGTAACACTGTGGTTGACATGAAATCTGTGTATTGAGTCTGCAATAGTGGCATTTGTCCCTGGTGCTCCAGGATGTGCCAGTTTGCACAAGAAGCAGCTGCTTTGCCACTCCACCCTTCATCTTGCTTATTCTGCAGGAAGCCCTCTCCTCCAGGATGCCCTCCCTGAGTGTCCTTCCTCTGTGCTCTTATTACAACATCCTACTGCAAAGACCCACTTCCTCCCTGCCCCACACCTGTAGGCTGAGAACTCGAACCGCACAGTCAGATACAACATAAACACCTGTAGCTTCTTTCTTTCTCTGTCACTGCCCTAAACTTCCTCATCATCCCCTATTCTCTTGGTAGCGTGGGGTGGACGTAAACTTGACAACGAAAGGTCTCTCTCCCCCAGTTTTTATTTATTTCAGAATAGATTTCTCAACTTTGACTTCTGGGCAGTGCTGGTTCTCTCCTCCCACTCTCACTTGCCAAGTTCTGGGGTCGGGGATGTTCAGCAAGGAGCAGGGACCCTCAGCCATGGTGAAGTCCCACGGCTGGCTCTGTTGGGTGGTGCTGCCAATGGACTTTGGGTGCCCAGCAGGGAACTCACTGCCCCATCCCTCCAAATGAGGCACAATCGCAGTCCCTCACCCTCACTCTCATCCCTAGTGGGTGGCCCACTCCTCCACCATTTCATGGGTTCCCTTCATCTCTTTGGGTGGCCTCTCAGGGGGCTCTCCAGATGACCTCGGCTCTAGTTACTCTCCAATGCTTTTCTGCCCACAGGAAACCTTAGATTCCCACCGAGCCAATGGCAGTGTTATAGGAAACTTGATGTGTTAGGGAGGTGCAGGGTAGGGGAATCTTCGGCCTCCACTCTCTCCCTGGACTGCTCTGCCATATCCAGTCTGTCACCCGGGGCATGCCAAGTGGGCTTCTGCCTGTCGGGCTGCTGAGCAGCAAGTCCCAATGTTCTGCCATCCCCGCAGCTTTACTTGCTGATTTTGGACACCTGGTCTTCCAGCTCGGTGGTCTCCTCCCAGTGCCCCCTGCAGGAAGCAGAGAGGATGGTTTTAGTTCCCTTTCTTGCCTGGCAGTGGGGAACCCACCCCACTCCATGCTCTTTGCCTTCTTGAGCTGGCACTCACCTTTCTTCCCAGGTGGTGGTGGAGGCTCTGGAGTCAGACTGTACTGACTCAGATGACTCAAAACTGAGAACATCCCCCCAAACTGTGCAGCTTTGGGGAGTGACAGTGGGGATACTAGATTATTCTGGAAACGCACTAGTTGTGTGTGATGTCCATGTCACTTCTTTCTGCAAATGGAGCAGAGTGAGTTCAAGGCCTCTCACCTGGAGTGGGCCACTGCTGCCCGGTGGTGACTCTCCAAGTCTCTCCCCAGTGCATGTACTCTCTTGCCTTCTCCATCTGCACTGTCAGCTTTTGTTCTTGCTCCCCACTTCCCCATGCAATGGAACAGCTGGAGAGAGCTTCCTTCCAGGCCCCACCACCTCAGCTGCCCACCTCCCCACCCAGGAGCCCATGTGTGCTGTCCAGCTGTTCTGGCAGTAGGAGCTTCGCCCGGCCATGCCCAGCCTGCCCCCCTGCTCAGTGACCCTGCCCCAGCACCCTCTCCCCGCTCTCCTATGTCATCAGTTTTCCTTCTCTTCTGCATCATTCCCATTTTTATATAATATGCTGTAAGAATTCACAGCTTGGAAATAACCCTTCTCTTCACCCTCTTGTTCCCCTCCAGCTGCTGTCCCTGCAGCAACCCCCCTGGCAGTCTGCCTATCTTTGGGCCTCCAGGCCTCCCCTCCCCTTCCCTCCTGAGCCACCAACCTGGGCCCTGGCCCCTATACAACCTGCTCTGGTCAAGGCCCCCAGTGGCCTCCACATTGCTGAACACAGTGGTCAGCCCTCTGTCCTCGTCTTACCTGGCCTCTAAGCAGCCTGGGCAGAGCCGATCCCTCCCTCCTGCTTGTCCTGGGTTCTTCGCTGGCTTCCCCCTCCACTCTCTTCTGCCTCTTCTCTTTCCTCCCCAGCAGATCCTGCCTGTTCAGTCTCCTGGGCTGGCTGTCCCCTCAATGATGGCTCAGTCCTTCGTCCTCTCCTCTGTCTACGTCCATCCCCAGAGGCCTCATCCAGTCACTGGGCTGGAAACACCACCTCTCTGCTAAGGACTCTCAAATGTTTGTCTCCAGCCTGGAAGCCTCCCTGAACTCCAGACTTCAGTTTCTAACGTCCTGCTCAGAAGTTCTCTTAGATGTCCAATAGGCACCACAAACCTAACTCCAAAGGGTCCAAAGCTGAGCTACTTATTTCACCTACTTGTCTCAGGTTGGTCCCTGGGAGCCGATCCTGAAACAAGAATTGAAGTGTAAGTAGTTGATGGGGAGTGATCTCAGGTTGGGGCAAGAGTGGATAGAGAGAGAAGGTAAGAAAACCAATAAAGCAAGTTACCTCTGGGGAAACTGAGGTGCAATTGCCCTAGGAACTCTGGAGGGCTGTGCAGAGCAGAGCTCCAGGGTGACCAGGAGTGGAGGGGGTTGGGGCACAGGTGGGGGCTGCTTTGGGGTGTGTTCATCTTCTGGAACTTCCAGCTGGCCCTTCCTTTGAGGGCCCTGGGAGAATAGCAGGTACTGGCAGCTGGAAGCCTATCCTCCTGCATGGATAAGGGCAGGGGACACAACGGCGTCTCCTGCCCCAACAACAGTCCTCGTCATCTTAGTAAACAGCAGCTCCATCCATCCTTCCAGCTGCCCATGCCAAAAACCCCAGTCATCCCTGACATCTCACTTGCCCCACACTGGAACTGTCAGCCTGTCCCGTTGGCTCTGCCTTCAGAGTACATTCAGGATATGACTTCTTGTCATCTCTACTGCCCTGCCCTGTCTGAGTCCTCGTCACCTCTCGCAGCCCCTCACTGGTCACTGGTGCCTCTGCTTCCATCCTGCCCTGCTGTCCACCTCCACCCTGGTTACTCTCAGCACAGCTGCAAAAACGACCCATTTAAACCCAAATCAGATCCCATCTCTGCTCTGCTCGAAACCCTCTAGCAGCCCCCACCTCACTGAGGTCAAAGGAAAAGTGTGAACAACAGCCTAAAAGGCCCTACGTGATCCACCCCCCAACATTGGTGACCCCATCTTGTGACACTTTCCTCTCAAGCACTCTGCTCCAGCCACACTGACCTTCCCAATGTCAGAGCACACTCCTACCTCAGGACCTTTGCACCTGCTCTTCCTGTCACCTGGAATGCTCTTCCTCCAGGAACCTGCACAGCCAAACCCCTCACCTCTTGCAGGTCTTAGCTCACAGGTCACCTTCTTAGAGGGATGTTCCCTGCCCTGCCTGTATGAAAGGGCCCCCCACGCTCATGCCTGGCACTCTCACCCCCCACACTCTGTTTTATTTTTCTCCTACCACTCTCTGACATTGTATTTGTTTGTTTGTTTGTTTACTGTATGTCTCTCTGGGAGAATGTGAGTCCCACAACACAGAAACCTCCAATTGCAGTTTTATTTATTTATTTATTTATTTATTTATTTTTAAAAGATGACCGGTAAGGGGATCTTAACCCTTGGCTTGGTGTTGTCAGCACCACGCTCAGCCAGTGAGCGAACCGGCCATCCCTATATGGGATCCGAACCCGAGGCCTTGGTGTTATCAGCACCGCACTCTCCCGAGTGAGCCACAGGCCGGCCCTCCAATTGCAGTTTTATTGTCACTCATTTGAGGTGCTACAGTGAACTTGCTTGGATTTAAGTCATACAGGAGACAGGAAGTAATAGGCACCTGGGAATATTCTTCAAGGTGACACCAAACAGGCTTGTATACAATCTGGCGATCGATCACACTGCAGATTACATGACTAACCAGCCCCTGATGAGAAGGGCTTCGGGACACCCTGGTACCAGCTATGCAATTGTGAGCAAGTGACTTCACTCTCCAGTCTTGGCTGTCCTGCCTATAATATGGTTAATAATAGATTCATCAGGCAATATGGGGAGCTTAGATGGAGTGAAGCCTAGCATGGTGCCCGGCATACAGTAAGTATTCAGGGAATGTCTGTAGGTGTTTCCACTCAATGTATCAAGCCCTCTCCTTGTGCCAGCCCCTGACCTCTATGCCAGAGAGATAGGAATAAAACTCTCCTCTCCAAGGAGGCCTTTGGAGTTGGTCAGACCTGTGTTTGTGTCCTGTCTGTGTTCTTACTGCCTGGTGACTCTGAGCCAGTGCCATAACCTCCCTGTCCCTCAGTCCTCCCGTCTGTGAAGTGGGCTTAGTAATGCTGACCTCATAGGGGTCTGTGGAGAAGGGGACATTCTTTAATGGTGACTGCTGTAATCCTAATGTCTCTCATTTCTTCTAGTTTCCTTCTAGGACACCTCCCCTGTTTCTGGAAAAAGGACGAGGTTTGTGGCCGCATGCTCCAAGACGTGTTTTTGGATTGGTGGGTTCTAACTTCTCACTTGTTCTTACTCCAGGTCCCCATGGGGAAGATGCCAGCCCCCCACCCCAATCCAGCACACGAACTCCCAGTCCCACTCCACCCTGGCCCAGCTCACTCTCAGCCCAGTAGTTCCTCCCGAGTTGAGAGGCAGATGAGGCTGGTCTGGAAGCCAAGCTCTGCCATTTGCAGCTGCAGGACCTTAGACCAGCCATCAGAAGCTCTCTGTGCCTCAGTTTCCTCATCTGTACACTGGGTGGGGGATGTGACTAGGTAACAGTTGTGGTCTGGGGTAGTACTTTACACTTTTCGAAGCACTTTCAAAGATACGATATCATTTGATTCACGGGATAACCTTATGGGGCAATCAAAGGAGGGCTGTTGAGACCCTGTGTCATGGGTGTGGCAACTGAGGCCCAGTGGGGGACATGACTCAGCACTGAGTCAGCATCAGGACAGGGCCTCGGCACAAGGGTCTTTCCTGTGTTGAGCACCTTTTGGGAGGGGGCATTTCTGTTTCTCCCTCTGGACTGGGGCTGATGACGTTCACATCTCGGGTAGCTGACAGCCTCCTTTGGGTCACTTCGGTTTCCAGGGCTAAGAAGTATGGACCTGTTGTGCGGGTCAACGTCTTTCACAAAACCTCAGTTATCGTCACGAGCCCCGAGTCAGTCAAGGTAGGAAGCAGAGTGGTTTCTGGGGGTAACCCCTTCCTTCCCCTGCATTGGGGGAGTGACACTCGACCCCAAGGGACTGTGGAGGAATGTTCCAGAGCCAGTATGCATTTGGGCTGGCTTCCCAAGGACCCAAATTGGAATGGCATCTTTCTCTCTACCCACCCACCATTTGGGGGCTCCTCCCAGCATTGCTGTTTGGTGTGGGGAGCGAGTGGGCAGTTTGCTTTCCCCACTGGGGCACCCACATTTAGTTTGCCTCTCATAGCCTCAGTTCCTTCATCTGCAAGTTGGAAATTGCAACCCTATCTCCTAGGGCTATGATGAGAATTAAATATCAATTAGCTTATTTAACAACTTATCAAAAGATATTTAAACAGTGCTGACTCTGGATCATGTACTTTTCTGTGCACATCACAATTATTAACCCATTTCATCCTCATAGGGGTAGAGATGCTTATTAGTCCCGGTTAAGAGATGATGAAACTGAGGCAGGTGGCATTAATCTGTAATGTCTGTCACGTAGGTACTAAGAATGGGCATCAGACCATCTACTTTGGAGTTGGCAGAAGTGGGCTCAAATCTGGGCTCTGTGACCAACTGGCTAGGGGACCATGGACAAGTTACTTCATCTTTCTCAGCCTCCGTTTCCTCATCTGTTAAACAGGGATGATGGCTCTCATACAGGGAGGTTGTAAGAATGGAACTGAAATGACATATGGGAGCCATCTGGCCCAGGTCTAGCACATAGCAATCTCTCGGTAAACGATGGCACTGTCATCCTCAGCAGATGTGTGGGCGTGCTTCTCTGCGTGGAGCATGGCTGTGTGACGCTGACAGCGATAAAATACAACCGAGGGCCCAGATCAGGAGACGGGTTGAGTAACTTTATGTCTGTAACAGAATGTTAAAAATTATTATTTTTTTAAAGTTTAATTTCAGACACAGACACAGTTGAAGACTTTGTAAAGCACGCTACCAAAAACTATGCACAAAGACTTTTATGATGTTTCATGAGAATAGAAGTTGAAAGGTACAATGGTACTTCAAAAAGTTCATGGAAAAACAATTGAAAGATAATACGAATGTTTCCATGAACTTTTTGAAGTACCTACACATTAATAGCGTGAATTATATTGATTGATAGATATTCAAGTGTTAAACCAACCTTGCATTCCTGGTCATGATGTATGATCTTTTTTACATATGCTGGATTAAATTTGCTAATATTTTGTTAAGGGTTTTCACTTCTACATATATTCTTGTAATGCCGTTGTCTGGGTTTGGTATCATGTTAATACTGGCCTCATAAGATATGTTGGGAAGTGTTAACTCCTTCTCTATTTTCTATAAGAGTTTGTATAAGAATGGCGTTATTCCTTCCTTTAATGTTTGGTAGAATTCACCAGTGAAGCCATGTGGGCCTGGAGTTTTCTTGGAGGGAAGTTTTGTTTTTGTTTTCTTTTTTTTTTTGTCTTTTTCCGTGTCCGGCAACGGATCGCAACCCTCAGTGTTGCCCCCGTACCGGACCGGGGACCGGCAACGGGACCGCAACCCTCAGTGTTGCTCCCGCGCCTCACTCAGCCAGTGAGCGGGAACCGGTCTGTATGTGGGATCCGAACCCTCGGGCGGGAGCGCCGCCGCGCTTCCC